AACTGCGGGGAACTATGCAAAAAACGCATCTTCGCACGGGCAGCCCGTGCGTTGGCCAATTTTTTTACATTACAGATGATTTCCTCATCCACTTCCAATGCCTTTTTCCGAGATACTGTTCCTGTCGAGGGAAGAAGCTTTGGTACCACAACGTACGCTTTTGCCAAAAATTAAACGACTAGTGATGAATCTTAGAAAACAGCGCATTATCAGTGCCATCTATCTTCCTTCTTTTGCTTCTGAGGATTGGAGCGAATTGTAAAGACTGAGCAAGTTGGATCCGAAACAACCTGGAGGACTTCAGTCACTCGAATTATTTAAGAGAAAAAAAAAGAGATTTTGTTTGGAAATTTCTTGAAAAATGTAAACTATGGAAAGTTTGTTTGGCACTGTAGGCTAGCCGATGAAAGGGACATAGTCGAATATTGTCAGTTGTGGGAACGCAGGAAGTGCGAATTTAGCCAGATAAGCGAGCCTGTATGTGCATTTGCTGTTGTCCTGCAATGAAAAATGGGAACATTAGCACAAAGGCACTAAACTGCAAACAACACCGAACAGGCGGCGGTAATAGCAAGTAGTGTGCAGTTCAGGATTGAAGGCATCCATTCCCGCAGTATCATTAGCAGGGGGTATCCGTACTGGTTCCCGAATGATTTTGGTATAAACAGAGCGGGATGTGCATGTTTTCTGCCTGGTTGCTGAAAGTACACCAAAGGTTCATTCTGTTTTGCACTTTCACTCTGCATATGATAGGCATAGGCGGGTCCAGGACGGACTCTGCGAGGGGGAGGGGGGCGGAGAGAGAGAAAGGGATTTTATAAACTTGTAATTTTGCAAATGACATAATTTTGCAATTGATGATTTTTTTGCAAAAATTTTGTAATTTTGCGAATGATTTTGGTGATCGAGTGAACTGCTAGAGGCGCGCGACTACTGTCTTCCCCTTGGTGCAAAATGTATTAAATTTTGTAAAAACAGCCTACGAGTTTTAAATGAGATTGTAAGTTTTCTTGTTTTGGAGGGGTTATGAGTTCAAAAAGGGACTAATGTTTTTTTTTTTTCGTTTTATGCGTGCTGCAAATAACATCCTTCTTTATTGTCTTTAGTTCGAATCGATTGAAATGTTGAAATCTGTAGAGGAAACAGCCTCTTTGATATTCGTACGGTTGAAAAAGTCTCTGGCACACTCCACTAGTGTAGACTGTCGCTCATCGCATGGGCGTTATGGCTGAATAATTTATACATTTCTGTACAACTTATACATTTTTAAGCATTTGGGCTGCTCACCTAATATTTTGTTGTTTTTGATTTGAATGATTTGCTTGTTATTCTTAGGCTATATAGTTTCGGCACCCACTATCGGTGACCATAATTGTTTGGGCTTTTGCCATGTTCACAGCGCTTTCTGTTTGATCCAGTAGTTGCAATAAAAAATGACAATAAAATACCCAAGACCGTCCAGGATGTCACTGTGATATTTCATGTTAATGATGTTACTGGAATGCTCTCATACGTCGGGCATAACTGTATGTCAGGCTTCGATCCTGAGCTGCATACAATACTTTTTGACAGTATTCATCGTTTGTTCGGTGGTGTATGTCCGTCACCTCTTCGAAGAAGTTTGTTTACTCTCTCAGGAGTACACCACTCACTAATGCGCAGCGTCCGTTGGTTGTCTGCAAATTGAGCAACACATCTTGTTAGTCGGATATACGTCCTGGTATGGTTGTGATGATATCTTGCATGTTGCTTGATTGAGTGTCTAACTGCTTAATACTATCGAAAAGGAATATGCCGAGCGAGCGCTTCATTCATCCCTTTCTTTGCTACAGGAAGCGCTTGCTCTTCAACTTTCGTAAGTGACCACGTTTCATATCCGTATGTCATTGTCTAGAAATTCATATGCAGGAAATACCCTTCAACCTTGTTATTTTTTTGTGGCATATTGGAAATTTTGTCGTTTAAGAAAATGCTGTCAGATTGTTTCCTGCGTTGTTGTTTCAAATAAAAAGTGTATAGTCGGAGCGAAAAAGTTAAGAAACTCGTTCAACTATTTTCTTATTTGACCATTTTTTTTTTCTTTGTTCAAACGAAGAAGCTCGATACGGGATGATTGTAAGCATGTGCAAAAAGTGACATTTTTTAGTCGTTATTAGACCGGGGTTACCAGGTGACAGCGGTTATGGTTGATGCAGCGGTGGTGAGTAGACTTGTGAGCAGCGACGGAGATAGTGGTGCAAAAAGTGGAACGCATTCCGTGAAATTACCATCAAATCGATTCCTCTATTATATCGATGAAGAAACGATACGGAAAAATGTGAAGGAGCGTGGCTACGCAGAAAATCCCTCCGTGAAGCAGCTAGCTCATTCCGACCTCGTAGACGGCATCTATGAAGGTTACTTTCTCTACAAACCGCTTGCTGAATTTCCTTTTTATGTGTTTTTTGCAGCAATGCAATGAGAAAAACGCATATTGACGAGAGGTCGTCTGTGTGTGTGTGTTTGTGTGTGTCTGTGTGTATTTGTGTGTGTTTGTGTGTGTCTGTGTGTGTCTGTGTGTGCGCTGGGCCTCTGTACCGATTTTTCATC